CTGGCCGGCAATCACGTTATCGTAAAAGTACGCGTTACCCAACTTCCCAACGTACAGCGTATCCTGCCATCCGTACAAGCCGCACGAGTAGAATCCGGCATTCGCCCTGCTCACGCCGACGGCGTGCGCGGGGCCGTTGGAGTACGGGTACTCGTCGTTGCGGAAGTCGATATTGTACGCGCGGAAGTCGGCGCACCCGAAGGGGGTGTCGGCCGGCACGGGGAAGCCCGTGGGTCCGGAGCCGGTGAGGGTGGCGTTGAGCGTGGGCCCGACTGAGAGGACGCTGGTGTAGGCGTTGTCCGGGAAGCGGACGTTGTGGTTCGTCGCGTTGAAGAGGACCTGGACTTCGTTTTGGGCGTTGCCTGCCGTGGCGTTGCCCACGGAAGAATACGAGAGTCCGCTGCTGGGGGAGTCGGTCATGCCGAGGAGGGTCAGGGGGCCCGGGCGGGTTACGTTGAGCTGTTCTACGTAGATGCCTGGCGCGATGAGGATTGTGTGGGCTGATGTGTCGTGGGGGAGGGAGGCGATGGCGTCTTGGATGGTTGTGAAGTTTGCGTGTTTGGAGGTTTTGGAGACGAAGATCGTGTCTGGGGGGCAGCCTTCGAAGGGGTTGTTGCAGGTTTTCTTTTGGCATGCTGCGTAGGTCTTTGCTGGGCCTGAGGGGATCGCGGCCGCGGCGAGGGAGACGAGGGCTCCGGAGAGGAGGATGGATGCCTTCATCTTGAAGCCTGTCCTGGTTCCTCTCACTTACAAAGTTCTGTTTCTTGTAAAAGTGAAGAGAGAGGGGGGTACTAGAAGAGGTGAGGGAGAAAGAGACTCGTCCGAGCCGGGAGATATATACAAGCAAAAAGAGTGTGGTGGTTGAGTTGGTGTTCTTCTGAACAAGCTGAACAAAGAGGCCCGATGATCTGGATGGGAATGCTATATATCCTTCCCGTCCGTCCCATTGCTACCTACCCTCGACTAGGTAGCCAGTGCTACCGTACCTGAGAGGTACCTCAAGCTTTCCCTTGTCCATGTTACCCGACGCTTGTCACAATCTCCTCGACAACTTGCGAGTTGGGGGCGGGAGCAGGTTTTCCGGGTATGCCCCCTGTCCCGGGTTCAAGTCTCGCAGTAATAGAAACCAACGGTCGTCAGCTACACAAGTACACACTTGCAAAGAGCACACAGGCACAAATGGAAAGCTCAAATGCGCGTGTTGTGGGCGGAGACAGATGTGGCACTTGCAGTGGCAGCGCCAAAGTATACCATATTGGCCCCCTCCAGGAGAAAAGCGAAATTCTCGCATAGCTCGCAGTTTGCGGCCTCGCTCGTCTGTTCAAGGTACCTTACCTCAGATAGGCTGGCTTACGAATCTCTCTCTCTTCCCTCTCTCTCTCTCTTCCCTCTCTCTCTCCCTCTCCCTCGGGTCGTACGCGCGGGGTAGAAGACGGAGTTATTACCCCGGAAATCCCATCGCCGGCAGACGTGTCAATGGAAGATTGTGTCCCATGGGGAAGAAGAGGCGTGGCAATGGGACGAACATGATGAGCACATGGTACTGCCGCAGGTGACAAGGTCAAAAGTTGGGGAAAATGAGGAGGTCGAATCCCCAACTTTTGGGGCTCTGCAGGGCTGCTGCAGTCGTGCAGATGGAAGAACTGCAGCTGGCAGATTCCACGAACCACGTCGTGCAGGGCCTTGCAAGGCACTCAGACTAGCCACAAGCCACGAGCTAGCGTACCTGGCCTGCAATATCAACGGTGTCAACGGCGTGTGGTCAATGACGCGGGGAAACGGCGAGTTAACAACCTCTGGGAAATGTCAAGTTATGAAGGGAGGTGGGGGCGCCGGAAATCAAGCAAAAACCAAGCCTTCGGAAACGCGGCATGGGCTCAAGCCAACCGGCTTGGCCTACGAGCTCCCCCACACTGGGTACGTGGGGTAGCCCTGGCCGCTGTTCCACCTCAAATCCTCAATAAATCCAGTAAAAAGTCCACCTCGCTGCAGCGACTGCGCTGTACGCCTTCAGGGGCACCAATCAGTGAGAGTTCGCGAGAGTTGCCCCTCTGTTGGCCCTTAATTAGCGCTAGCCCGCACTGTAATTGATAAACCCGGAATTGCCCAATGGGCGCTCGGGAAGCCTTGCTCTCGTCCCACTATTTCTCTTTTCCGTCGACTTTTTCTGCCCATCTCCAATTCCCGTTCCTCTTATTCTCACACTCACTCTCACTTGAGTACCTTATTACACTCTCACCGGCACGTGTAACTTCTCTCAGCCTCCGTCTCCTTCAAAAGAAACATCATTTCCCCTGGGAAGCTCGCCCAGGCCTCCATGCCCAAACTCACCCAACGCACCAACATGATCATCATCTCCCGCCAGATTTCCTCCTGCTAAGCTTTTCCCGGGAACGGCGGAGATCACCGCATGCCGTCTTACACCAGCATGTCCCTGGTTTCGCCATATAAAACACAAAAAGCTTGACTTTGTTGGCCGTTTCCTCTCACTCCGCACCCAGATGATCAGATGAATAGCCGCCCGCCTTGTCCCCTCGTGGTTAGTGCTTTGTGTCCGTCGTAGGTCTCCGAGCAATAGTAGCGGCGACGCTTTGCCGTCTCGTCCGTCCATACCATCCCCATGTGCCCTCTCCGTTCTTCCTTGAACCCCTTCATATGGACGGAAAAATTGCAGCCCATGGTCCCATACCATGTGCTCTTTCCCCAATCTCTCCCCTTGCTAGAGCCGGTAGACCCCTTCCCTTGTGCCCCTGCTTCACCTACAGTAGTCACCCCTAATCGAGCTATCGCCGTGTCATTCATGGTGGATATCCTTCCAACGCCGAGAAGCTTCCCCCCCCCCCCCCCCTTGCTCCGCATCGGCGCATATCCTCTCTCCGAAAGCTCGCCTCCAATACTCACCCGGAAGATCTAATATAAATCCTTTCCCAGCCCTTTCACAGCATAGCAGTCTCAAAACGGCTTTGTACAGCTTCTCCAATTGCTTGGCAAACTACCCCCAATCGTCCTTGGCGCATCAGAATCAATCCTGACCGCCGTTACATTCTTTTAACACTTGCTTGTTCAATTCAATTAGTTCGCCATGGTCGCTCCAACCCTGCTCGGCGGTCTCCTCGCCGCCGCCCTGGTCCCCCTCACCCACGCCGCCACCGCCGCCGCCGTCCGCCCAGACATCAAAGCCGCCCCCTTCCACCCGGGCCGCGCCTTCCCCGCCTCGGCCCCGAGGACAAAGACCTGCGCCGTCAAGGCCGGCACCAACGGCAGCGACGACTCGGCCGCCATCCTCCAGGCCTTCAAGTCGTGCAACAACGGCGGCACCGTCGTCCTCGACTCCACGTACAATGTCTGCAACCCGCTCGACCTCACTTTCTTGAATGCCGTGGATGTTGCCCTCACGGGCACCGTCAACTTTTGCGATGACATTGACCACTGGCTGCCCCGCACCTACAAGTACACCTTCCAGATCTCTTCCTCCATGTGGAAGTTTGGCGGCAAGGATGTCAATATCTACGGTAATGGCGTCGGTACGCTCAACGGCAAGGGCCAAAAGTGGTGGGACCGGTTCGCGTCGAATGCTACGCTCGAGAGACCTATTCTGTTCGTCACTGATGGTCTTCACGGCGGTTCTATTACCGGCTTGAAGATGGTCAACTCGCCTCAGGTAAGACTAACACCCTCACTCACTCACTCACTCACTCAATCTCACTCTCATCAACATCACATGAATCTCATCCACCACACATGAAAAACCCACACACTAATAAAACCCCCAACAGTGGTTCAACCTCATCGCAAACAGCACCGACGTCCTCATCTCCGACATTGACATCAAGGTCGGCTCCACCTCCTCCAACCCGGCCAAAAACACCGACGGCTGGGACATTTACCGCTCCGACGGCGTCGTCATCCAAAACTCCGTCATCAACAACGGCGACGACTGCGTCTCCTTCAAGCCCAACTCGACAAACATTGTCGTCCAGAACCTCGTCTGCAACGGCTCCCACGGCATCTCCGTTGGCTCCCTCGGCCAGTACGTCGGCACCTTTGACGTTGTCGAGAACCTCTACGTCTACAACACGAGCATGTCCAACGCCTCGGACGGTGCCCGCATCAAGGTCTGGCCCGGCATGGATACCCCCTTCCAGCCCAACCTCTCTGGCGGCGGCGGTTCGGGATACGTCAAGAACGTCACCTACGATACCTTCCACAACGACAACAACGACAATGCTATTACGATTGATCAGTGCTACGGTCAGAAGAACCAGACTATCTGCAACCAGTACCCTGTAAGTTTCTCCCAGCTGGTCCCAAGATGAAGAAAGATGGAGAATTGGAGTATTAACACCATCTGTTCTAGTCCAACATGACCATCAGCGACATCTACTTCAAGAACTTTGACGGCACCGCCTCCTCCAAGTACGACCCGCGCGTCGGATCCCTTGTCTGCAGCAGCCCCGCCGTAAGTTTTGTCTTTCTTCCCACTCTCTTACCATGTTAATGCGTAACTTTGCTGACACGCCGAACTAGAAATGTGTCAACATCAACGCCTCCAAGATTAACGTCAAGGCCCCGAGCGGCAGCAACCCCCAATGGCTCTGTGTTAACATGGACACTGGCCTTCTCGACATCAACTGCGTCACCAAGGTGACCAAGAGCTAGAAGATCCGAGTCCCCGCTGGACCTGTGATTTCTTGTTTAATTTTATTCTGTATATTTGAACTTTACCTTCTTGTATTGAAATGGGAAACTTTGCCCGGTTACTTTCATGTAACCCCCGTCCAAAATTTTATTCGAGGGGAAAACGTGGATCTCATGCATATACATACTATAGCTTCGTATTTCTCATGCCTATAGACATTCGAGGCTCGAAAATTGACCGATCATCAAAGAGAAGCTCATCTCTTGAAACACAAAAGTTCTTCCTATACCATGTTTCAGCGCTCAAATCTCCCTTCCCCTAGAATTCCCACTGAAGGAGCCGATGGGATACCAGTCAACCATCAAACTGACTCAGCATGTCCGTCAGAAGGTTTATCAAACCTCCACACAGCCATATCCCTCATCTCATCAAACCGCCACACCTTGACGCACTCCTTTTCGACGGCGATAAGCCTCCCGCCGCACTTCTCAGAGACTCTCATGCTACCCACGTTCTCCGGGTCCACCTGCGCAATGAGGTGCGTAATCTCGACTTCACACCCGTCCATCTCGTTCTCTTTCTCTTTGATAGCTGTGGGGACGAATACCTCCTCCCTCGGAGCCATTCTCCTCCGACTCCAGTACATCTCCAAAAACGCCCTGATCGCGCGCGTGGCGTATCCTTTGCCCCAGCAGTCGGACCTCAGCTTGTAGCCTATCGATAGCCCCCACGCTGACGCCCTTGTCGTTCTGATGATGCCAATCATCTTGGTCTCTTTAGTGGTGCTGGTGACATCCACCTTGTCGTCCGGCGGTAGCGAAGGAGGCGCGTAGTCTGAGACCATCACAGCGCAGCTTAGGTGCCAGGGTTCACTCGTGAGAGCCTTTTCCATGCGTTCTTTAGAGGCTTCGAGGGTGGTTGTGTGCAGCTGAGTGCTGGGTGGGGGGAGACTGAGGTGAGCAAGGTGTGTGATTGAGTGACATTAGTAGAATCAGAAAAAGCAATTTACCTCCAGAGAGCCGCTTTACTGTCGGATGATAGTTCGTGGAAGCCTTGGAGATGCTTTTGTAGGTGCAAGGGCTCTAGCCAGAAGATTGGTCTGGGTGCTTTTGAGGACATCTTAGTATTTTGGCGAGTCTAATATCGCTGTCGAGGTATGATGCGAAATGATTATACGAGAAGTGAGGTATGATGGTAGAACAAATTGTGTTCAACGTTCTTCATGGCATTGATTGGAAAGATTGTGAATGATTCTCGATCCTGGTTCGGCTTGGTCCTGAAAAGTCGCCCGTTCCAGTGAGTCACTATTCCCTGGCTAACTCCATGAGTGGTGTAAGACTGAGCTCATCCAAGGACTTTTGTAATAGAGCCCAGCTTTTAGCCCTTAGTTCCCAGAAAATTGAACACGAAGAGTATCTTTCTGTTCAAAAACATGTTTGCTTAGCATGGTCGCTAGTTGTGCATACAATGGCCACTTGATTAGATTAATATCGAGAAGCTGAATGGAATATGTAAGTGAACGAGTCCAATTGAAGCAGATGCGCTAAGCGTCATGGAATCCTTGCAAAAGCTACTGAGCTTCTTCTATGAGTACCAACTTGAGAGAACAGAAAGACCGATTCACGGAAAATCTGTTCAGATCATTCGTTCAGCCTGGGCTGGTGAGATGACAGACAACATGAATTAGATCTTTGATGAGTGACTGATTGAAGAGGTAGTGAACGTCGCTGCTCCAGACCCCACATTGCGCGCCCCTCATTTTCGTCCGCCCACCCTCGGGGGCACCCGTAGAGCTTCTCCGATAAGATAAGACATTTTTCGAACCTCCAAACTTTCCAAGCTCAAGGAAGTCACTTCAACGCGATAAGACCACAGCCACATCCCACGTCATTGCACGCGCACCATGTCCAGAAATGTCGGCAGCAGGTCCTAACTCGAAACCTCTAAAGTCTGCCTTCGCCAACAAACGAAAACAGGGATCCTCGGGCGACAATGGCGGGAACAACGGTGCAGGCGGCGGCAGCGGCGGTGGAGGATGGGCGCAAAAGCGCGTCAAGATCCGCAACGACCGCGAAATCGCAGCGCAGTCCTCGGACGCGGCCCTCCGCGACGGCGAGCTCGACCTCCAGTCCTTTTTGAACGCGCGCGAGTTCGAGATCCGGGCGCTCGAGGAGAGCATGCGACACACCAAAGTCGAGGCCACGAGCCGGGCGTTCCAACAGGTGCCCCGCGGGCTGAGGCGGCGGACGGCGAGCCATAATGCAAAAAGGGTGCCCAAGAGGCTGCGCAGGCGGGCGCTGAAGGAGATGGCGGAGGATAATACCCCCGTGGTGCTCTCGAAGCGGAGGAAGCCCAAGACGGCGAGGGCGCGGATCAGGGCGGAGACGGCCAAGAGGTTGGGGATGCTTGCGGAGAAGAAGAGGAGGCGGGCGATGAAGGCCGCGAAAGCTAGAGCAAAGGAAGGCGAGGAGGAGGATACGACGAAGACGACGGGCAAGGCGGGCGACGGACCTAGCAAAGGCGCAGTCACAGTCACGACGAGGCCGCCGCGGCCCAAGATCCGCCGGAACCAGCTCAACGACCCGCCGCAGCGCAAGTCCAAATTCAGAAAACGGCAAATCAACAAGACGTGGCTGCCGACGCACCTCTGGCACGCTAAGCGGGCGCGCATGACGGAGCCCGTGAATCCGCTCTGGCGGTTCGCGATACCCCTGACGCCCAACGAGAAGACGTACCGGGCGACGCACCGGTCACACGGCGACAGGGGCGCCGTCGTCTGGGACACGAGCTACATGAGCACGATTGGGCTCTACGGGTCGGCCAAGGGCGTGGAGCAGGTCCTGCGCCGGCTCGGCGTCGTGCAGGAGGGTTGTTGGAATGAGAGGGGGAGGAAGTGGAGGGAGGGCACGCGGCACTGGAGCGGGTTGTTGAGCAGGGAGGTCAGGGGAGGAGGCGAGGGGAGGCGGGAGGTGTGCCCGGCGATGATTCTCTGGAATCCTGAGCCGGTTATTGAGGACGGAGACGGGGCGCAGACGGTCAAGGTCCAGCGACAGGTCTTTGTGAGGGTTCATCCGTCCGCGTTCCTCGAGGTTTTCAACGAGCTTCTTCGGCTTGTGAAGATGCAGAATCCCAGGATGTACATGGAGGATTTGCGCTTCGAGATTGGCAGCATCGAACTCACCGGCCCCGCATCAACCGAGGCCCTCTTAGGCATTCTGCACCCATACCACACCGCAGAAGGATCCAGAGAACAGCACGCAGGCATCTTCAACGGCCTGACCAGCCTCATGAGTCCCGCGTCGCTTCCCCTCAACGCCACGTTGGGTTTCTCCATCATGGACCCTCGCCTTCGATACCCGCCAAGAAAAGTCGCGCGTCCCGACCCCAACGATGAGGAAGAGCAAGACAACTCTCTCGACCTACTCGCAAACTGGCCGGCAGAAACAAAACTGAAGCCCCACGCCCTCTTCCACAGAGACGCGCGGGCTTCAGCCACGAGACTCCCCTCGCAAAAGTCAATCGACAGACGCAAAGGGGCAAGACGTCCCGGCACAGACCTAAGCGTCTCGGACGCCGACCCACCGATTCCCGTGATACTAGTAGCATCACGCGCGCCGGCGGCCGGAAACAATAAGAACAACTCCCAAGGGAATTGGACGCTCCTGGCGCCTTGGCGGTGCATCCAGCCACTATGGCACAGCCTGGTTCACTTCCCCCTCAGCTCGGGCGGTAACCCGCGCTTCTCCGGGCTGGATCAGATCCGCCAGGTCGCGTTCGAGCGGGGCGCGCCGTGTTTCCCGTTTGATTTCCTCGGCACCGATGCCGGTGCCGCGTGGGAGGTGGAGCAGCGGCGCCTGCGCAAGGCGAGCTGGGAGCGGCGGCCGAAGAGTAAGCGGGTCGCGTGGGATTCGTTGGATCTAGGTGCCGGACGGAAGGGGGAGGTTGGTTGTGGATGGGCGTGCGATGTGGAGTTCTTGTTCCGGGAGGAGACGGCGACGAGTAAGGGGCGAGAAGAGGAGGAGAGGGCTGCTGCTGCGCCGGAGGCGGATGAAATGGACGTTGACAAGCCTTCTCCAGCAAAGAAGAGGGAAGCCGCTGCTGGTGATGATGCGCCCGAGGGAGAGTTCCTCAAGACTTTGCAGCATATCCGCAAGGACGCCTTCAAGACACACACATCTTCGCCATCGTCAGCGACAACATCTCCATTACCGCCGAGATCCGTCATCAACGTCAAACTATCCATCCTCAACCGCGGCGTCGTCACCGCCTGCGCAAGAATCTACCGCCTACCCGCGCGACCCGCGCCCACCGACCCAAACTCCTCCGCCGAAGTCCCCGCAACGGTACCTCCCCCGCCGTCGCCGCCGACGACATCCGTCCAAGGCGGCAGCAGCAGCAGTCTACCCCCTAACCTCCGCGCCCAATGGCTCGCCACCATCCCCATATCCCCCGGCACGGCCAAGAAGAACGGAAAAACAAAACATCATCAACAGCAAGGCGACCTCCCTCTCGTAACTCAAAAGCAAATCCTTGCCCAGAAACTCCTCGCTTCACCCGTAGGGTCCATAGGAGACTCCGCGTCGTCGTCATCACTGCTGCTGCCCACGAAACCGAACCAGACGGACATGAATGGACACCACCCTCTCGTCCCCGACGAAAAAGACCTGCTCGGTTTCGTGACGACGGGGTCGTATTGTCTAGCCGAAGGACGGGGGACGGCGATTGGATGTTTATCGGCCGAGAAGTCTGTTGAGGCGATGAGGGACGGTGGTGCTGGTGGGAGAGAGGGGACATTGTGTATTGTGCGGAATGCCGGGGAGAGCGTCGGGTGGATTGCGCGGTGGGAGGTTGTTTGAAAGTGAAGGATTTACTCTATGACGCACATCTCCTGCGAAACAGTACTATGCATTTTTTTGTTGTAGACCGTGTAAAGGTCTGAGTACGTGCCAATCAAAAGCTGGATAGAAGCATGATTCGAGGAGAGTGTCTGTTGAGGAGGGGGACTCGAGGTAGAAAAGGAGATATCGGCCCCCAAACAGAGGGCTGTTGATATACGACAAGCCAGTCACAAGAGAATAAGGTAGGCTGTCCTCAAGATGAAAAAAAAAGACAGTCGCCCGATAAACGGGAGTGAATATATCCAGTAGTAATTCGAGACCAGTCACATTGCACGCTCTCATCCCCTCTACCCCAAGAAAGCCTTCTCTTCTCGTCTTGAGTCCTAGTCTAGGGCATGGCCGTTTTGTGTGAAATCGCTTCCTGGCTAGGGGTCCAAGGTAGAGTAAGCAGGTTCAAGGCAGATAGTTACCAGATCCCCCCCGTGCCAACCCGAAGTAAGACATCTTTTACATATCACTATCGTCATGACAGAGAGATTGCGTCTAACACGACGTCAGGTGAAGACTCGGCTGTTTTGACGAGGTTTATTCTGTCCTCACTGTGACTATCCAGCCCTTGTGCTGGAATTAACAAAAACATCAATACGCATCTAGCTGCGAGACATCTTATCTGGTTTGGTATACCCGCTCTGGGATCTTCCGTAATGACGGCGCAAAAGAAGGCCGCCTGGATATGTAGAAAAAGAAAGCCAACAAAATGACAGTGACGCCTTTTTTGGTTCCTGCTGTGTAAAAATAAAACGCCGTCATTATATCTCCCTCAAGGGCGAAACGTGCCACTTCCAATGAGGGTGATTTTTCTTTCCAAGCACGCGCGATAAGGCCTCACTGCTTCCAGTGACCCGTGGCACCTTAACAGAGGTTGAGAAGCTTTGCAAATATAGGGCTCTCAAGAGAAAGAGCAAAGGGCCAGGACGGTGGCGCCTTTTAATCTTCCTCGCTGACCTCACTCTCCTCAGCATCGCCACTATTCGCGGCCTCGAGCTCCTTCTCCAGCTCGGCCTCCAAATCGTCTTCCAACGCGTCCTCAAAGTCGGGCTCCGAGTCAACGTCCATCTGCTCCACCTCACCCTCGGCATCCTCATCCTGGTCGTGGTGATTGTGGTGCTGCTGTTGCCGCTGCTGGCCGTTCATCGGGCTCGGCAGGTTAAAGTTTGCGAAATCGCGCTCTTCCAGATCCGACTCGCCGTCGGCGTCGTCGGCCTCGGAGTCGCGCAAAAAGTCGGAGAAGCTGCGAACCTGGATGTTGGGCGCGAAAGCAGGTGAGAAGTCGGCCCGTTTGTTCTTCTGCTCGTCGGGGTACTCTATCGTCAAGCCAAAGTCGTCGTCATCGTCGTCGTCGTCCTCCTCATCCGAGCCCGCGGGCGCCTTGGCCTTCTTCTTGGGCGGTGATGCGGCCTTGGGCGCCGGTGGCGGCGCGTCGTTGGTCGGTAGGGCGAGGGTGATGTTCTTGGGCGGCGGCGGGGGACGGGCTTTCTTGTTGCTGCTGGCCGAGGGCCGCTTGGGGCCGGTGGCTTTGGAGGCTGGTTTCGCGAGGGGTTTGTCCTTGTCCTTGGGTTCGGCGGCGGCAGGTTTGCGAACCTCGGGAGTCGCGGTTATGGAGGTGTCGAGCTGCTCGAACTGCTGGCGCAAGGTCTCGGGGTTGTCGTTGGTCGGGGTGCGGGTAACGTTCATGTGGAATGTAGAATCGACCTTGTCGAGGATGAAGGCTTTCCTGTTGGGGTCGAAGTAGAGGACGTACTGGTTATCGTCCATGGTACGGGTACCGGCGTAGCCGTACATGCCATTGTTGCCGTCGGGAAAGGAGAGGTCGAAGCTGGACTTGCTGCCAGGAGTCTCGGGTTTTAACCTGGCTGTCGCGGGTTCGGAGGCTAGTTCTGGTTTATGATTGTCTGTAGTGAGGACGCGCGAAGGCGAAGGTGTCAGTCCCAGCATCGGCATCGTGTTTCAATCATGGAGTCTGGTGGGAACGTTACGTACATCGCACAGAGGTGAAGACCTCCTTCTGGGTGCGGCCGAGGAGAGTGTCGCTCAAGATGACGGGGTATTTTCCCGTCTTTGTCGGATCAATGAGGCCATTCAGGTTCTTGGGAAGGGCCTTTTCCCTGTGATTTGGACGGAGAGCCGACATTGTGGCGCCTGTCGCAAAGAGGGAGTGATGAGAGTAAGGTGAGGAAAGTGAAGTGGAGGGAGGAAAGACGGTACTGCGTACTGCGTGCTGCGTAGACCGATGATCGTTGAAGGGAAGTGGGGAGAGGGGACCTCGTAGGGGGGAGACGGGATGATTACCTTACAGAGGCGGGAACTGGGGCCGGTCCCTTTGCGCTGTGCTGCCGCTGCGGTTCCGCTACGAGTCGCCTGCAACTTTAGAATTGTTCCGCGGAGGGTGAGGTGCGCTGATGTTGCAGCTCTTCAGGCGGAAAGGCCGAGACCGCAGGTGGGTTGCACTGCTAAAAAAAAATGCACGTTGACCAGGGTGGTGGATGCAGGACATAAGCCTAAGGACGAATGATTGACGACAAGTATGAATAGGCGGATAAAAAGGTGATGGGATTCGGGAAAGCTGATGCGATTTGAGGTGGAGATCGGGGTAGTCAAAAGAGAAAGATTTCTGTCGTGGATGTTTGTGTGAGAGTTGTAAAGCAGACAGCACAACGAGATTAAATTACACCTCCGGATCTGATCACTCGTCGCTTAATTCAGTTCCATTGCCTCGATTCAATTTCCAGGTCCACGGGTAATTCTCAGGTCAGCGCTGGTGACTGTCCTCCGTACCTTAGTCTGCCTGTTGGATAAGGTAGGCTGACGTTTGGACGCCTGAATCAGTGGTGGCAATAACACTGAATGTTTCCGAGGATTTAGGTACGAAGTTGTGCTACTGAGTTGTGACAAGAATAGCCTTTGGGAGGAACAAATCTCAGAAGGTGTGTACGAATGTCAATATCTGGCTGGGCAAATTGAAGTTTGGCTTACTCATCCGTTTGAGGAACTACAGTGCCGGTAGCGTACTTCCGCTTAAGCCTACCTTACCTCATATCCAAGAATGTGCTGCAATACGATCTAAATAAGGCCATCGTGATCTCCCATTTTCGAAGAAAGTCGACTTCTCTTGCGCTGCGAATACCCAGCTTTGAACGCCACTACCTTTAGCCAGTACGAAGAAGTGCCTTATGTTCCAGCTCTGAATGGAGACAACCGCATATTGTTCGTATAGGCTAGTATGAAGCATTGCTGTTCCCAATGCACATCTATTCTTGGAATGCACTCCCTCAGCATTGTTCACACAGCTCACTGCACACTCACTGCGACTACGGAGCTGCCAGTGACAACCTGGAAGGTGATGAGGGACGACGAAGAAGTACCCCGTTATCCGCGGGAGCCCCAGATTTTGTGATAAGATTGAGTTCGTTCTTATCTAGAGCCCGCCACTAGCCGAGGAGACATCCGGGTTTTGCACGGCTCGGTTGACATGCCCCTCTGTGTGTACGAAGTACTCCGTACACTGTACCACCTTGCGTCCCTCTGTCAATCTCACTCGGCATCAATGAGATTGCCTTGATAGCTCAAGGCACTGTGCAACTCTTGAAGGCGTTTGGTTCGTCAATTGATCGAACATTGATTAATACATCATGGCTATATTCGCGTACATTCCAGGTCACATCGATGAACAACGGCGGGGGAAATCAAAAGGTACTGGCCGGGGTTCTCCATAGTACTCCTCCCCAAGGCCCCAACCTCGTCCAGGTTCATGTCAAAGCTCCCCATTCCCCCGCCGCTGCCCCAGGCTAGAGAGGAGTATTCAGGCCCTGTGGCTCTCAAATGCCATCATGGCCCGCCAGGGGTAAGCGCAGACAACCTCGGATCAAACAGCCACACAAGCTTCGGCAACGAGCGGCAGTACTCCGTACCTACCCTGCCTCCCTTCCCTTCCACTCGAGCGAGACAAGCTCCAGTTGCTACGGCGTAGAAAACACTGCTTTGTGAATTTCTCCTTCTTTTCCTGAACTCTCCTTCCTCCTGATTCGAGTGACCAAGTAGGAGAGAGAACGCGAGGCATTGAGACTGTGACGATACCCAAAGATCATTGATACCTTATATCCCCCTCAAGGCCATCCACATCTTACCACTCCTCTCCCAATCAATTGACCTGCATACACCTCCTCGCGGTCATGTCTGCGGCGGTCAACCGAGGTCTCAGGACAGCTTCCCGATCATTGCGTCTCCAATCGCGAAGCGTCCGCCTAGCCACTCCTCTCCGCGCCGGCCTCGCCTCCACTAACTTTGCCGCCCGCTCCGCACCTCAACAATCCCACAACTTCACCACCGCATCTGCGAGACAGAGCGCCGCACCAGTCATGGCCGAAGCAAGAGAATACGATCCTGAGATCAAGGACATTGCCAACTACGTCCAAAGCTACAACGTCGATTCCGAGCTTGCTGTGAGTATCTTTTTCTTTGCCTCTTACCATCCCCTTCTTCCCACTGCTGTTCGGGGCAAGACCCGCCTGAGTTTTACCCCGCGTCACAACCAGACCACCGCCGCTAACCGCCGCTTTCATGACAACAGTTCGACACGGCACGATGGGTTTTCCTGGACACTCTGGGCTGTGGTCTTGAGGGCCTCCGCTTCAAGGAGTGCAGTAAGCTCCTGGGTCCCATTGTCCCCGGCACTGTTGTCCCCAATGGCCCCAAGGTCCCTGGTACCGACTTCCAGCTCGACCCCGTGAATGCTGCCTTTAACATCGGTGCCATGATCCGCTGGCTCGATTACAACGACTGCTGGCTCGCCGCCGAGTGGGGACACCCTTCCGACAACTTGGGTGCCATCCTGGCCGTGGCCGACTGGATCACTCGTACCAACAAGGCCGGCGGTAACATTGCTGGCGGCAAGCAGTTCACCATCCGGGATGTTCTTGAGGGTATGATCAAGGCCCACGAGATTCAGGGCTGCCTGGCTCTTCTGAACTCCTACAACAAGGTCGGCCTGGACCACGTTGTCCTGGTCAAGGTCGCCAGCACTGCTGTTGTCTCCAAGATGCTCGGCCTCAACGAGAAGCAGATTGCCGACGCCGTCACCCAGGCCTGGGTCGACGGCCAGAGCTTGCGCACTTACCGTCACTCTCCCAACACCATGTCCCGCAAGTCGTGGGCTGCCGGTGATGCCTGCCAGCGCGCCGTCAACCTGGCCCTCAAGGTCATGAAGGGCGAGCAGGGCATCCCTACCGTTCTGTCTGCTCCCGTCTGGGGTTTCTACGATGTTCTGTTCAAGGGCAAGAAGTTCGAGTTCCAGCGCCCGTACGGCAGCTACGTCATGGAGAACGTTCTCTTCAAGGTCTCCTACCCTGGTAAGTAGTTTTGGAGTGATTTCCGTAATTCGAGCATGTCAACTGACCAGGAAAAAGCCGAGTTCCACTCCCAGACCGCCGTCGAGGCATCCTCCAAGATTCACCAGCAGCTCAAGGAGATGGGCAAGTCAGCGGCCGACATCAAGGGCGTCACCTGCCGCACGCACGAGGCCTGCATCCGCATCATCGACAAGCAGTTCAAGCCCATGGACAACTTTGCCGACCGTGACCACTGCATCCAGTACATGGCCGCGACCATGCTCGTCTTCGGCCGCCTCGAGGCTACCGACTACGTCGACGGCAGCGAGGCCGCGACCTCCCCTCTCGTCGAGTCCCTGCGCCAGAAGTTCAAGTGCGTCGAGGACCCCCAGTTCACCAAGGACTACCACGACCCCGCCCTCCGAACCATCTCCAACGCCCTGACTGTCGAGCTGAACGACGGCACGGTACTCGAGGAGGTTGTCGTCGAGGCACCTCTCGGTCACCGCCTGAGAAGAGAGGAGGCCAAGCCCGAGATCCTCAAGAAGTACAAGAGGCACTTGGAGCCCCACTTCGATGCCGGCAGAGTCAAGCAGCTTGTTGACCTTGGCCTGGACCCCAAGAAGTTGGAGGCCACTCCTGTGGATGAGTATGTCGATCTGTATGTTGCCAAGGACAGCAAGTTCGTCTAGGCGGTGGCGCATAAATGAATTTTAGGAAAAGATTGGATACTATAGATGTTATGTTTCTACAGGATTTAGATATGGAAATCTGACAAATAGTATTGTGGCGCTCAGGAGAGGTCCATCTCTGGTGTAAAGGGTTGTGGTGCTTGTGTCGGCACCGTTTACGACGAGTCGTCGGCCAGTGAGTGCATCTGGGCGGTTGTCTGGAAAGAGGATGAAGTTATGCGCATGGAACCATGGATATGAAAGTTGTTTGTAGGCAATACGAGTATTGTTGGACACCCGACTGGCCACACGCTAATGGCTTGTCGCTGACGAGTCCTCCCCTGCAAGAAAGCTCTCACGGCTCCCTCCCGACTCGGACAAGTGCTACCCAGGCACGGCCAAGTTTGGCGGGCACAGCCTCCCCGAAACCTCTTTAGGGGATGATTGGCTTCACCGTAAACCCAAGCACCCAAAGTCTTGATAGATGACTGATGATCGCCAAGCCCCCTTCCCTGAGCTGAAGTCTGGGCGACTTGAACCAGGTGGGTTCTGTTCAGTGGATGTTTCTCCTGGAAACGGTGGATACGGAGACGAGGAGACAAGAGAAACGGCTAGCTCGGGTCACGGCATTGTTTTGCGTTTCACAGGCCAGACACTTTTCGTTTTTCAGAGTGTCATTTGGAACCACAGAACCACAGGGACCACCAAAAGGTGAGGGAATGGAAATGCATGGCGTGTTACCTAAGCCGCACTGCCACTCACCTTAGGTACTTACGGATCCCGTACTACAGCCTGCCTACGGATACTTCTACGGCGTACAGTCTGTACCTCCCACTTGGCCATCCACCGAGAGCGCCACTTTAGTCCGTATTGATCTCCTGTTCGGACCTTTACTTCACTCCGACCGCATCTGTTTGTTCTGGAAACAACCTCGCCTCCTTTGATTTCTCCAACTGTTGAACTACCTGATACCCTCTTGCTTTTCGACTCACCAGAAAGCACTTTGCTCTACTCACCTTAATACCGACGACAAAACTCGCCTTCCACTACACACTTCTCGAGCAACACCTTTGATAGCCCATCTATCTAGATTCAAGTGGGGTTAGTCTCACAACAGGCATCATGGACAGACAAACCATCATTGAGACCAACCGGTCGCTGCGTACCATCAAGAACGTAGGTCACTTCCCGACAGCTTTCCGAGGCTATCGAGAGTCCGCGGAAGACATCGGTCGACTCTAGTCACTTCCCACCACAAATCTCTCGATACCCGACCCGATCCGCAATCCCACGGAAACCGCAGAATCACTTTCGTCTAACCTACCCTTTCCTCCAGGAACTCGAGAACCTCCTCGAAAAGGGCGTCATCTCCGAAGATGCCTACGACAGCATGCACGCCACCCTCCCCGCCGAGACGCCCCTCCACGGTGCCGCATCCCGCGCCGCTCCCAACGCCGCCGCGACCCCCGTCCAGCACAACAACCCTACCTCCCCGCCCCCGACCGCCGCCATGGCCGCCATGAACGTCAACCCGTCCGCCTCCCCGGCGCCCCCCTCCTACAACCAGACCGGACCCCCCTCCCTGCCCGCCCGCACAAACGAGAAGCCCGTCCTGGCACACGCCCGCGCGCTGTACCGCTACGCCGGCGCTGACGCCCGCGACGTGGCGTTCGAGCGGGACGACCGCATCGCCATCCACGAGTACATGAACGCCGACTGGTGGATGGGTCGGAACCTCCGCACCGGCCAGGAGGGCATCTTTCCCAAGACATACGTCCTCGTTGAGCAGGACATGGCCAAAGGCGCCTTCGCTCCCGTCCCTGCTGCGGCTCCCGCCCAGCCTCAGTATGCCGCCCAGCAGCCGCAGTGGGCTCCCCAGCCGCATTACGCCCAGCCCCAGGGCCCGCCGCCTCAGCAGAACCCGTATAACGCCGACGCGCCGCCTCAGGCTGTTGCGGACCAGAGCACGGGGGGCAAGGAAGGCGGCGGCAAGGGGTCCGAGATGGGCAAGAAGTTTGGAAAGAAGCTTGGTAACGCTGCTATCTTTGGTGCCGGTGCCACTATTGGTTCCAACATTGTCAACAGCATCTTTTAAGCGTATTGTTTGATGGTGAGGTGCTGAGAAAATATGGTGCTGGGTTTGCTACGGAACATATTTCCATGGCTGACAATCTGGACGAAAAGGGTCCGTACTGCTTGAGGATAAATATGGCTGGGAGGAAGTTAAAGGCTGCCTTTTTCCCTTGTTTTGTTATTTTCTGGGGGGTTGGGTGTATATCTCAACTCCTCCTCGGGAAAGCCCCAGTCCGGAAACCCCCGCCAAGGGGGAGCTCGGCTGAAGTTGCTTTTGGATCGGTTTGTTGCTACATGGGAAAGACTGGCACATATGGACGCGCTCATTCTTTTCTTTCCCCCTCTTTCCTCCCGCTAATTGGTCATGGGTCTAGGCGTTTATCTGAATTTACAAGGCATTTCGTATACTGAAAATCACTTTGTATACTTCATATGATTTTCCATCTGGTGACGTGATTTCGGGGGTCTCCCACGTGTTATCTCTCCGTCTGTCTATTGTTTTGTCGTCACTTGCTGAGCTCAATCTACTAGCTGAACCATATCAACGTGCCAACCTGAAAAGAGCCTACTCATCAGGCAAAGTAGTTATCAAAAAAGTGATTCCCCGAAGACGAGGACATGATTGGGGGACTAACAACATTCGAGGGCAAATAAGTTCGGAAACAGTATGGGTGGCAGTGAAGCAACGGGGGTGGGCAAAATTGACTCCAGGTTACTACCGGAGAATTTCGTTCTCCCTCCGTCTTCTTCCTAGGTGTCCTGTTTGGTGTGTACTATACCCCAAACACACACCCAGAAGACTCGAGACTCCAATCAAAGCACAAGCTTCGGGAAGGGGGCCCAAGAGAAACGAGAGAACGAGGAAGAGAGCGGGTGTGGGATGGATGACTTCGCGGCTCGGTGACCCCGGACATCCGAGGTAATCCTGGCCCTAGACCCCCCCTTCCCGAACTGCTCGTTACCGGTCTGACGGGTGTTTTCTCTTTTGATCGTGGACTAGGGGGGACGACTGGGTTTGGGAGGTTCGGAGGGGGAGGTGTGGATTTCGGGGGGAAGGGGGCGAATGGTGGTCATTGCACGACGATGGCTTCGTTTTGCTTCTTCTATTTTTCTGGTATCTCAAGAGAAGAGATAGAGAATAGAGACGTGTACGGTAGAGGGATACGGAGACATTGGTCAGGCCGGGTGTTTCTCGAATCGGTAAGCTACACTTTATTGAATCCCCCCTACTGTGCCAGTCAATATCACTCCCTGTTGATCCTCGCGTTCTACGTGTTCTCCTTTGAATCCGGAGAAGTGACAGACACCCCGGGATTCTGATAGCACGTTGTGTGGGCGTAACCTTGTTTATGACGAAAAAACGGCAACTTTCGATTGTTCGCTTTCTGGACCTGTCGCTATAAGCTGGCGACGTGGAGGGAGGCGAGTGTATTGAGGCTTTGGGGCTGCCAAGCTGTGTATATCAAGTTGTGTGTTAGCGCCATTCTTCCTCCACATTCGCTGCGTAGACCCTTATGCCATCATACTCATCACCCAGAGCATATACTAACTAGGGATCATGCCTCCAAAAGCGTAACTTTCGGGACAAGAGCTGAGATGTGAAGAAAGGGTTCTTGATTTTCCTCTGACGATAGATACATCGTATTCCCACTCATCTCACTCATCCCACCCGTACACACACACACACATACAACATACCAAGAGAGGCGCGCGCCGTGCACATACCAGCTCCATCCCGTTCTCCCCCTTCCCTGCCCTCCCATCCACCACCTCTCATACTGATACGCCGGTGTGAAAGTGCGAGGCAACCTCTCTCGTCCCTTCCTATCCCGCACGCTTCTCCCACCCATACATCACTCCCTCTCACACACCCTCAACCAAACTCATCCACTTCATCCAATCCCTTTAAGCCCCCCGGATGAGATCTCTCCGACACCTCACCCCCCCTACACTACTCTTCAGTCTTCAGTCTTCGCCAAACCCCAGACTTTACTCATCATCCATCCCAGGACTCCTTACATGGGTAACCCCCCTATTCCTACCACACTCCCGATAAACGCCAACGGGATGAAAAGAATTCAAGGTTTGATCGAATCGCGCTGCTCCTTTCCATCTCCATCCCTAGCCGGGGTGTTATTCTTAGACTTTTTCATTTCGTCGCCGGTACCGAGGCCGTGGACGAACATGTGCTCGATTCGGGGAAAGAACGTCGAGAAGAGATCGGGGAAAAAGAAAGAGAGGAGGAAAACGTGGGGTCCGGTTCGGGCGTGAACTTGCACCCCGCGCTGGCTCTTCTTTTTGGTCCAATGCTCTCTGTCCATACGGCCCCTACTCCCCTCCCCCCACCCGGGTTGCAGGAGTTCTTCTCATGGACGGGGAGGATGTCCGACGACGTGTGAGAATCTGGGGGTTTTTCATGCTAGATTGAATATGGGGATACAGGTTTTGACGTAGATCTCCTTCTGGTTGGATGGGTATTCGAGGTCTTGAGCGTGTTCACGCTCTAGTTGACATTTTTGATGTAAAGGATGAGGTCGAGGTTGAAAGTCCATAACAGTTTCTCGAAATCTCACTGAGATCAGTTGGTTTGACTCGCTTATCGTGATGTTGTAACTTAGGTTTAGAGAGTGTGTGTTTCTTCATCTCATCGCCTCACGATGAGTATTGCTAACCATGGTGATTTCTTGTACGCCATGTTCGCGAACATAACGAAGTCACGCACAGGTCAAAAGTTCAGGACAAAAAGAGGGTTGATATTCATTCCACTATCCAGTCTCCTCCATCCCCCCGATGAGACAAAGAAGAAGCTATTCCTACAGTATCTTAGAGAACACAGCCCCTCAATTTTCAACGAAGTTCCATGGAGTAAAAATGAACAAGTCACCGTCTTCCGCTAGAAACATCTCAACAACAGCAAAGTGTCGAGACGCTTCCTCTCCTGGACATGGTGCGCCGCCATATTGCAGCTGCGAGAGCCAGAAGAAGGCGAGACGGTGAAAAGGGGACAGCAGAGCGAAAACGCCAACAAAAACACTACCGTCTAGCAGGCTCCGAAAACACGTTCCCGCCAACCCACACATCCCCCCTTTCATCTTCTCCTCCAAAAGTGAAAAATGGAGCAACAGACCCGAATCGAGTTCCTGGTCTGACGATGGTAGAAAAACCATACACTGGGCTCAGCCTCCAAGAGGCTCCAGCTATACCTCATCACGCGGCGCCCTTCCAATCTTGACACCGTGCCTCCAAGAATGGCGCCCGCAAGTCTGCTCCGCTTCATCCTCTACAGCAAACGCTGAAATGCTCCTCTGTCTCTTCGCGTTGAACATTCTGTCGTTTTCTTTACAATCTGTCGTACGCTTGCGTCTGTCACGCAGGGATACATCCACTGTCATGATGCTATTCCCTCGAAAATGGCGTATGCCTTACATGGGCCGGGCGATGCCAATGGGGGTACCCATCTTCTCGTCTTGCCACTGCGGCCGCTCGTTGTTCCAGTACTGGTCGTCGTCTTCGAGCGTCTTGGCCGGGGCGACCTGGGGCTCGAGGCGGCCGGCGGTCCAGGCACGCATGGGCTTGCCGTACTTGTACATGACGGGCAACAGCATCGAAACACCCGCGAGCGCGGCGCTGTAAATGCCAAAGTTCTTCAAGAATCCGAGGTCCTCGATCCAGGTAGTGACGTTGAACGACATGATGAAACCGATGATGAGACGGGATGAAGAGACGTTGACCAGGACGGGTCTAAGTACATGTTAATTGCGAAAATTTTGAATTACGTGATGAACAACAACTTACCCTGCAAAACGGGGATAACTCTCAACCAAGTAAACGGCGAAGATGGTGTTGGCAGTCAACAAACCGAAGCCGATCAAGAAGATGGAGACAAGCACGACAATAGAAGGCAGAGTTCGAATGTTCTCGCCGGCGTAACCGAAAAGGATCGGGCCAACGATGGAGGCCAGGAGCGGGAACACCAAACTGATGAGATGAGCCTCGGGCTCACGTCGACCTCCGTTTCGCTTCGCAATGTAGTTGGATATCTTATCGGCAACGTAGCCACCAAAGAACCAGACGAACGGACTGGCGATGACAATGGGGATGACGGCGAAACCGAGCGTCTCGAACTTCCAGCCGGCGGCAATTAGGAGTGACGAACCGACCTGACCTGCAGCACCTTGCATGGAGACGAGAATGGAGTTGATAATGATGACCCAGATGATGTTGGGGAACAGGGTCGTCTTGAACATGTCAATGACCGACTGCTTGGCCTCCTTCCACTCGTAGCCGTAGTTGAAGATGCCGAACTCATCCCAGTTGGAGCGAGGGCGGAAGGTCGATTCGTCAATGCGGGGACGAGTTTCGCCAGGGCGCAGGGGGTAGACCTCCTTACCGGCTGTTCCAATACGTCAGACGTATCCAGTGATTCAAGGACGAAGGTACTCACCGAGCTCATCGTCGCTGCGAATCCAGCGGGTCTCAGGCACGAGCAGGATAAGACCAATCCACGCAAGCACACCGACGCCGGAGGTGATCCAGTAGATGAAGCGCCAAGAGAGGCGGGAAACAATGATGGGACTGTTTCAAGTAGTTAGCCACTGTGAAATACGCTGGCATAACCGACAAGTGTTTCGCAAGACTCACCTCATGATACCCAAGCTCACAATCAGGAGACCTTGAGAGGCACCGACGGAAGAGATGGCCTTATTGCGCTGATGAATGAACATCATATCCTGAATGATGAGGGGGATCAGAGCCTCGACGGCACCCGCACCGAATCCCTGGAAGCAACGAGCAGCCAAGTGGCTGCCGAGTCCTTGAGAGAAACCGGCCCAGAGACCACCAGTCCATGCCAGGAAACCAGAGAGCAGAAGCACAGGGCGACGGCCAACAGCGACCGAGAGCGGAACAAGAAGGTAGGAGCTAAGTCCGTTGACGAGCAATGGGACAGAGGCCAACAGGGCGACCTGGTACAAGGGTGGTCCACCGAGACCAGCGAGCAGCTTGACGGGGTCGAGGTTGACTTCGCCGGGCTTGTTCAAGGCCGAGATATCGATCTGGCTGAGAATGTGAGGGTCGATGCCGGAGTACTCTAGCACAAACACAGGTACCAGAGCACCAACGATGAACTCAGCCGCGAGGGCGAGAGAGCCGACTACGAACTAGTCAGTGGCAACCCGAGTTCATTCTTCCACTAATACCAGACTTACAGAAGCAGAGTGCGCCAATGGACGTCCATTTCCTCCAGTTCGGCAAGTTCAGGGGATCTGTCACATCGTGTCAGCAAACAGTTGCGTATCGCAGTCGAACCCTCCTCCCCGTGTAGCTCCAATAGTCGCAAACTCACCCTTGGGATCCGGCGTGGGCATGGGCACAAATCGAATGACTCCTCCCTCGAACAACTGCGTCGATCCCACCACCAGGGCGTTCGGGGTCTCGACCCTCTGCACCGTGGCGAGGTTATCCGTAGACTCGGTCCAGCCGCTCTTTGACGCCATCTTGAAAGTCCTGTCCAAGGAACTCGTCTAGATGTCGGATATTGTCGTCGTCTTCGCCGTGCTAGTACAATGTATCGTGATGTATATCGGCCAATTCCAATCTCTAAAATCTTTGTTGATCACGGAGTCGCTTTCGTATTCCTCCCCGCGGAATTTAGTCGTCTGGCCAGAAAAGGGAACAAGAATCTCGAGAAGGATGGACGGCGGCGAGGGTTTGGAAATATACTGCTGCATGTCGCCGTGCGGTGACAGGTTGGCACGAGGGGCGAGCGCTCTGTCATAGGCCGGCCGCGGTTAGACGAGCAGTCTAATCTGAGACGAAGGCCGATGTGTGCAACTGCGCAACTGTTTGAGCGCACGGAGCACTGTACGGGGTGGTAAGAAGGGATAGACTCGAAGCATTTCCAAATTGGTCAACTCATGCGGATGTTTGGGGGGTGATTTGATTTGGGTGGGATGGGCGGCATCGGATCGACCTAATCCTGGTCTCGCATCTGTTGGTGAAGAGCCTATTCGGGCAATACGTCAACCTGGGTCTTAGTTAGCAAGACTTGACAACTCTATAGCCCTCCGCTAGCCCACACAAACAAGACAATGGGGCCTCAGTCGATCTGCCCCGCGCTGAGCCAAAACGAACAAGCTTTACAAAATGGTCGTGTTTGGTTCGCCTCTACTACCGTAAAAGACAGTAACAGACACAGTCTCTTTTGGAACGGACCAACGAGAAAGTGAGATGATGATGACAACCAACATGAACTTTGGTAAGCACGACAACCCGAGGAGAGAGGGAGAGGGAGAGGGAGAGAAAGACTGCCATGCCATCCTTTGGGAAAGCCCTCGTCAACTCATCACTGGAAGAGGACGGGCCTTGCGAGCAACTCGAGATGGGATGGTTGCAAAGTGACGGCACCGTCGACCACTGGGTCACTCCTGAACCGCCACGATCCCACTGTTGTAAAACTCTCAGATACGGCGAAGGGTTTTGAGTTGTTGCGATGGAGGGGTGCGTTGGCCTCGAATTGGTTCGAGCTGAAACACCACCACAATAGTCTATGCAAGGTCAACCCTTGTCTCTCCGCCTTGAGCCTCAAAGCAGCCCACCCCGGTAGTGGGCGGCAACTTTTCAGTAGACCAACGGCATCGCAGCGCTCGGAGAATTCGAAAAAACCAACACCTAGAGGTTTATTTTAATGAGCCGGCGTTCGACTTACGTACAATCTTACAATTTACCCCATACTCTGCCATAAGGCCCGTCGTCGACGATCCATGGCAAACACGCCGACTGTCTCGTGGCCCCGACATCCGATTCTAACGAGAGTCATACCTTCTGATGCGACGCCAAGTTTTCTTCACATCCATCCATCTTCCAAACATGCTTCGACACGGATGAATATTCACTAGAGGCGGAGCGTGGGCCGCCATGTTCCACCGCCACTCTCGGCCCGCTTTCACAAGCTGCCGTTCATGGGATGAGCCTCGGGCCAATCTTTGAATCCCAAAAGCCTAGTAACATGTTTGTCTTGTTCGGATTTTCATTCAAAAGTTGCTGTGCTGTCAGTGAGGCACTCAACACCAGACGTCCGCCGATAGTGAAAGGATGTGAAATAAATCGTCCATTCGTGTCCGGTTCCCCCTTTCATCGCGTTCGCTAACCAGCACTACTTGATCCGCCTGTCTGTGTCATGAAATGCTGCCATCCGTCCACCCGTCATCGTAACAAAGGATGTTGAGAAAAGTCAAGTCCTTTTCCACCTGGCGACTCAAGGAAACATTCGCAACCAATGCTAGTGCAGGTGCTAAACCAATGAGTGGTATCCATGCCCGATATGTCCCAAAACCTCCAAACTCCTTTGTTGTAAACATCAAAATCCTAGGTATCTGTGCGCGACGTACGAAGCCAAAGAAAAGTCGGTTGCAGATGATGCTACGAATCGAATGTAAGCGTTGATGCGAGCCGGCGGCAAAACCATATTAGTCCCTGCTTGAGGTAGACTCGGGAAGTGATGCTAGGATCTCATCCTGCGTCTCGGTGTCGTCGGGCCATGCTGGTAGGTCGAGGGACGCGTACTGCTCGCCAGTCTGCTCCTCCAATTCTTTTCGGAGTATTTCGATTGCAATCAACCAACGTCGTTGCAGTCTCTGCCTGCGGTCATTAAAAATCTTGACCAGGGTATCTTCTTCTTGCGCAAAATCCGTTGCCAGATTCTCTATGTCCTGCTCTTTCTTGTCGGTCAGTTTCTCGAGTTCTTGCTCCTGTCGTTCCAATAGCTCCTCCATGCGCTTGGCCTGCCGGTCTCGCAAAACGTTGATTTTGGCTTGATGCAAACGCTCCATGCCGTCTCGCACATTGTACTGTTGTCCCAGCAGACGTAAGTCCCTCTCCGTGACTACTCGTGGTGGCAGGTCGGCATTCTGTGTACGACCAAGCCCATCGCAGTATGCCTCCATGTGCTTGAGGCGGATCTTGACGCTCTTCTCGCTCTGGTCAAGCGTTGACCGTAGATCCATCTCAGCCTCAATCTGACGTTCTTCCAGGTGAGCAGCCGTTTTCGCGTGACGCTCTTTCATCTTTTCGATCTGATCTGAGTATCGGTCGGTCAAGGCCTGCTTCTTCTCGGCATGCCGCGTCCACATGACCCATTTCTTCTTCCTCAGATACACCCGGAATCGATCCAGTTCTTCGTTCATATCGCCTTGCAGCGTGGAGAACTGCGCGTTCTCGCGAGTCCGCTTCTCCGCCTCGACCTTTTCGGCAGCTTCGGCGGCTGCCGCTGCTTCTTGCGCAACCTTTTCCGCTTCGAGTTCAGCTTCCCTGGCCTCTTCCTCCATTCTCCTGCGCTCCAACTCTTCGTCTCCGTTGCAGAAGTTGGGACAACCGACGGACGGATCCCAGATGGCGCCACAGATGTAGCAAAATTGAGCTTTGCATCTGCAAGTCATATGTGTGCAGCCCTGACTCAACTCGACTAGTGTTCGGCACTTGTAGCATCGTCGCCAGCCGGACTTCTCGCCCATCTTGAGAACAGCCTCCAGTTCCCAATCGGAAGGGCAATCTTTGCCTACGGGATGGGCATTGCGTTTGCACATTACGCATACCCGTGTCCGACATTTACGGCACACCACGTCGAAAGGATGTTTCGGGTCAACCCGGTTGCGAGGAGGGATGAATTCACCACAGGCCATATTTGGGCAAAAGATTCTAGCTTCCCAAGGCGTGCTGAATTGCAAAACAGCCTTCAGAAAGGCATGCTGCTCCTCTCGGTTGAGTATTTTCTGAATAATGGAACCCGGAATCGGCTGTGTGCAGCATCGAGGCGGCATCTTGGACTCGTCCGTCGTAGCTTGCTGAATCATGATACTGAGACACTCGGCACAGTACGTGTGGCCACAAGGCAAGCTGTGCAAGGCATTCGACTTGTTGAAGTCATTGCGACAACATATGCACGAACTCGAGGTTGGTTAGCAAGCAGACAAAGAAGGCAGGTGACGGGGATTACGCACATTGTGGATTCTAGCAAGCCAGACTTGCGCTTCCATCGTATTTTCCTAATGCCCTCTTTGATGCTAAAGTAGCTTCTTCTTGAAGTCACGCTGAAGAGGCTGTGTGCGGTTGTATCGTGTGGTATTGCTGGAGGTGCCTTTTGGATCTTTGGTTGGTGTATGTTGGGGTCTATTTGCGACAGATACTTGTCGTAATGAGAGAAACTGAGGCTTTTGGAGCGTTTCCTGGCGAGAGACTGTGGAGGGACATCGGCGGCAATCGGAACCGCATGTAAAGACGGATGAGACGTCAAGGTTGTGCTGGCCGAATCCCGCGAGGCATTTGAAAACGTTCGGACATGTTGCGTCGCGATGGTCGAAGTCTGCGATTCCGCGCTCGAGGTATTGCGCTTATCGTGTGCAAATCGGGACGTGGGAATACCCAGGGCGGTTGCCTTTGCGACCAGTTCCTCCTCCACGTCTGCTTCTGACCGTTGCGACGACAGCCGCAGCACTTGAGCGCGATATTCTGCCTCGCCATCGTCTGCGGCAGTCACGAGAGGCGGCGGACGGGCCATGTCCGGAGATGAGCTCGTCTGGCCAGCGAGCGAACCCATGGCGGGCAGAGGGGTCGGAAAAGAGGAAATCGTCAAGTCAGGGCAGCGCGAGCAGAGGCATCGTGGTTCGGGGCTCGGTGTGGTTGACAGCTCTCCGGGCCTCGCCGGCCGGTCAAGCAGACAAAGGTGGTACGATTAATTGGCAATTAATGCGCAGATGGTTTGAAACGGAAGTTGCAGGTACTGACTTGACATCGAACGGATCAAGTGAGGCCGGAGAAAGGATGAACCCACGAGGCAGGGCAACCACAAGCTCTGGCGAGTAGGCGAAATGGACAGCGGCAATGATAGGACGAGAGGAGAGCCAAGGTTTGCAGGTGGTGGTGAAGGGCAAGGAAGGCCCAAGGGCGGGAAGCAGGAATAGGTGCGGTGGGATGTTCTGAATTGGTAGAGGGCGCGAAAGGGTGGTGTATGTCGTTTCTTTTTTGGGTGTGAGAGACGAAACGGCGAATTGGGATGCGGCCTGGACCGCGAACGTGACTTGACGGGATAGGAGGATGATGCAAGGTTTGGTGAGTGGTGTCGATTGTCGATTGTCGAGGAGGGGATGGGGAGCCGAGCTGAGCTGAGCGTCGCTGTGCCGGAAATACGGGTTGAGTGTGAAAGGGCGGACTGATGGCAGGGGCGAAAGAAAGCGCAGATCTTGGGGACCCTTGAGAATGACGAGGGGGGCTATCCGTCCCACGGCAGGCTAGAAACGGAGCGGGGAGAGGCGAGCGGTCGTGCTGCGACGCTGTGGTGGTTGTGAGATAGACGGGCGAGTCGCGGGCGGGTAGAGAGACCAGACCGTAAAGGGGACTCGGGAGGGGGGGGGGCTCCAAGGTGGTCGACAATCAACGTCCCAATGCTAACGTTTTCGAGTCAAGGGCCGAACGGTGAGTGCGGTTCAAGCCAGGCAGGTGTACGGTGAAGCGGTGGAATGCGAGAGAGATATCCATAGACAACAGCGGCGCAGGTGAATGTAGGCAAAGAGAGGATGCTTGCCGCGTCCTTTTGCCCTGCTGCTGCTCTGCAATTTTGTCGAATCCAAGGAAGAGTTGGGTAAGAGCGGGACTGGAGTTTGATTTGTTGGTGGTTTGTCGGCTGATGTGTGACGGTGACGAGAGCGCGACCACAGGACGGGACTCGGGAGACCTGATAAGATGCAGGTGAGAACCGTTGGTTTGGGAAAGATTGGAACAAACTGGACAATGGACTCAATGGAGGGACATGGTGACATGGGATTGGGCGCTTCCGGATGTTGGCGCCACATCCGACATGACCTGATTCCCCATTTCCTGCATGGCTCGACTCCCGTCCGCACTCTGCACTAATTCTGGTCTCTGTACTTACCGTAGTCGTTCGATTGTGTTCATTGCTTCAGTACTGGTGCCTGAGAGTGGAAAGATTTCCCCTCGACGGCTGAGAAGTATCGGACTGGATGCATCGTCATATAAGAAATATACGGCAGCAAACACACCGTCCTCCGTGGAAATCTGTCTTAGGTGAGATTAGATGCAGAAGCAGCGAAGGCAGGTGCTGAGATGGATGGTGTATGGAGTACTTGCTCCTGTCTTCCAACTCTCAAAGGCCCCGCCGGTGCCGCCGCCACGGACAGATACGTACCGAGTTCCGTCCCATCCTTCCTGCAGTGCTGCACATTGGATCCCTAGTGGAGAAGGAGAAGGGCATGGCGCCTTCCCTTTCCCAAACCCGTCTTGGGTACGAAGTACGGAGTACATGACATCCCGTGCGCCTGACCTGTGCCTGCCTTTCCAGTGTGCCAGTGCAAGGTTTCTCATTCGTGCTGAGGAAGGTACTTGGAGACATGGACCTGCCATCAAAATACCTTTGGCTAGAGGCAGATTTGCATCTGCGGAGTACAGCAATGCTTCCCTCTGCGTTGATCAGCTTGGACCTCAACAACGACAAATCTACCTCAGGAAGCTTCCCCAGTCAAACCACAATCTCCAACTCATGTCAACCATGGACTGTCCAAGCCGCCAGCGCCGCCAGCGACTCCTCACACCTTGACAAGCCTTCCGGTCTTCGATGAGCAGATGGAAGACAGACTTGGACAATGTCACAAACTTGACTATCACAGACGGAAGCCTGCTGATAGCAAAACTCCTCGGCTTCTACTTCGTTGTCGCTCCCTCCACCTACTGCCATCATACGGCTCCTGCCATGTGGCACGTCGACGTGCCACACTATTAATGTGCAACGTTGACGCCTAGCGGTGAGCAAATGTAAACGTCCCCGGATACAAGCTTTGAAGCAGCCCAGATCAAGGTAAAGGCCAATTCGGAAATGCATCTCATTCGTTTGCAACATGTGTTATCTGACCTCCCCTAGGCACTTTGAGCTATTGTTCCCCCCCTTTCCTTGTCATCGCCAATAAGCCCTGTGCTTGGTTGGCCTGCTATTATGGACTACTAACGGCACATCCATCAGAGATCCAACTTTCCTGCATGTGCCGCACTGGGAAAGCCACGCTCGTTCACCTACAGCCTCCAGGTCGCCGGCCGTTTCCCCAAACCTCAGACACCGTTGGCATCCAGTCACAATCCATAGCATCCGTCGTCTGCAGCTCTAGTTTTGCCGAACCCGAGAGTCAATCCGCATACAGCTTGCAGTAACATTTCGCTTCGCATCGCATCATGAGCTTTGGCCGGTTGGAGGAAACGCCGGAAGCTATCCGTCCCCATGGTACCCGTACCAAGTACGTAGGCAGATATCAGCCCACTTTCTCCAAGAAAGAACCCCGTCCCGTTCCCGCCGACCGGGGGGAAGCTTTGAGAGGCTCCGTCAACACGAAGTTTCGTTTCCCCCTTCCAATGGTGCATTTACCCTCTGCCTATCCGTGCGGTCAACCTCTACATGCGCCAACAACGCAACCAAAGGCTGGTGCTAGGAATCTAGGGCTGATGGGAAGCAGTGTTCTTGAGAAAAGAGTCTACACATCAACTGACAAGGTAGTCGCTTGGAGTCCATTTCAGCTACGCCCATGGCATCATCGAATCCCGAGAATGGTCGCCTGGCAACTACCTGGATTTTGACACGCAGCCTCAAGACGGCCTCGACGCCCACAACACAATGTCAGATTTCGCGTCTCCAACAACTATATGAGCAGTACATGCGAAACTATAGGTCATGCATGCTCGCCACTTAAGCTTTGGAAACGTCCGTGACACTCATAAGGTCGATAATAAGGTCGGCCGATGGTCTGAGCTTCGCACAGCTTTCTTGACAGGGCCAAACTCATCCATGACTCCAAAGAAACCTCCAATGTCCCCCAAAGGCGAACGCCTTGACTCGCCAACGGATTCTCGACCATGGTAAAGGAACTCCAATCGAGATTCTCCTCCACAACTCTAATTGCACTCGGGAAGCATGTTGCTGCATGGCTCTCTTGCCCCTTTCCCCGACTCCCCCGCATCGACAACTCGAGTCCGAGTTCGCGCTACACACGGTATTCACTTCTAGCACCGTGTGCTACACCGCATCGGCCCCACACTACGCGGTCCGCTGCCGGAGTCATATCCGGGCAGCCGGGGCTCTTTCACGTTCACCGTGAGACCTAGACTTTCCACACTCGTAACTATGTCATCTCCACGCGCAGGCGCCAAAGATAAGGCTCCCAACATCGGAAATGATGATCGTTTGTTCGTTGGCGACAGGAAGCTTTAGCTGTCTCAAATTGGCGATGGCTGGTTTTCCTCATCACAAACAGAAAAAGAAAACAACAAAGGGCCAAAGGCAAAAGGAGAACCCCCACCCAGAAGCAAAAGGCAAAGTCAAGCTCGAGCCTCTACTCTCCAGCGAAGTTGAGCATAGTCTGACATAAGAGCTAGTCACCGCTCCAGCTTCCCGGCCACTTTTTTAACTGATGACGATTTCAGGTGATTTCCGAGTTATATCAGACATTAGCCAAGTCTTTCCAATTAACTGGTCGACCGTTGATAAGGAATTCTCCCCCGGCTTTTCTATCTTCCTAGAACCCCCCGAAGCGAACAAAGGTTACTCTCAAATTTGCTGCTGCGAGAAGCTCATGAAGGTGCTCATGAAGATGCACATACTACAGCAACCCTTCTTCGCCTCCGGAACAACATAAAACTGCACAAAGCTACCTTTGTCTCCTTCTTGATATTACTTACCTGTCTAGATCACTCACCTGTTGCCCGATATCCGTCGCCACACATCGGGACACATGGCCCCAATCAATCATGGCGTTGCATACCTTAACTCTGGGTAAGCGGCATGGTGAAAGGCTCTTCTTTGATACTTGAACCGGGGGCATCATCGCTGCCACCGTGTCTCATGGGCAGAGGCTTCCTCATTAGCAATTTCTCCTCGTCATCGATGCCTATCTAAACAAGGCTCTCCTACGCAGCCGGGAGTAGGGTTCTGCCAGACATGGTACCCAACTGTGACGAAGGAAAGCTATCAAGGTCTCGAAGTACACCGCTTTTCACTACGTGGCAGTACTCTATGGCCTCCTCTCAGGCCGTTTGCTAGCAAACATCATACCGGAATGCAATACAACCCTACACTCGAGTCAGTCGTATACATCAGACCGTACACATTCCACGAAAGCCAGGGTAAGGGTGGCCCCAGCTGCCCTTGTCTGCCCGATGCACCTTGAAGTAGTCACAGACTCCCGAACCCGTCCTTCACCAGTCGAGAGCAGCAGCAAACCAGGTTCTCATCCCTCTGCTTTGGTCCAGGGAGCTCTGGCCCTCCACGCCGTTTCTCACCTTTGATGCCCGGCAAGCCTTTCGATGCGGCTAGTACTAGTAGTGGCTTACTCCGATCAACCTGCCAAAGTTTCGCGGACCAGCGAATCCCCTCGTGGCAGCCGTACTAATATTTGGCTGATTCGCTCGAAAACACCTGCCATGCAGAACTTGGGCTGGCCTAGAATCACGACAGAGAGGGGGCGGGTAGCTTCTCTTCTGCAGCCGTATGCTCCCTGATGCCATCAGACGAAGTCATTAGAGGTTTCTCTCTTCCTCCTAGCCTTGTCATCTTGCTTCCACCATCAAGTACCATCGAACCGATACCGGTGTCTAGCTCGGAAACCGACTTTGACGTTTCCGGCCGACTCTCTTTCTTGTTCCAGCCGATCAAAAGAAAGCGTTCAACTCTAGCGTCTTTTGTGCAATCACCGGCTTTTCCCCAAGTTTGGACATCTTTTTTTTTTCTTTTTCGCCGCCCATCTCGATGGATTGGGAAATGGTCGGGGGAAGTTTGAAGCCGCCACCAGCGGCGGTGCTGCTGCCTTCATAGCTTGCGGGGCGCCATGCCCCAGTCACTTGTCAAGAGAGGCGGCCAATGACTTGCCGTAGACTATCACTTTGTAGTGCTCGTATAAGTCGAATAAAAGGTCGGGTAGGGCGGCTGGAGATGGACAGGTCGACGATACGTAGGCCGAAAAGAACAGTGGCATACCTTGAGGATCACGTCAAAGAAACGCCAGTCAATCTCGTTGGACTGAGAAATATCATTTATGGAATCTATCGAATCTATTGGGGGTTGTGTATTGGGCATAGTTGCTATTCTGTTGGTACAGGGGTGTGTGTTCTAGCCAGGTATCGAGTGTTTTACAGACTCTTCTAATGAGCTGAGAAGATGAATGGTCCTGTCCCAAACGCAGAGGAAGGAGGAACCTTGACAAATATACAAAGGCCGCAATGTGTTGTACATAGTTACGAATGGGAGAATAGAAAGAGGGAGGAAGGAGGAAGAAGCAGAGTCGTTTGAGGACATGTTGCTCGTGGCGCTTCGTATACTGGGTAACTCTTTTTTCTTCCTTGGCGCCTTGCATCTGCTTCCGGAGACGCCGCCGCCGCCGCCGCCGCCGCCCCTATCGTACAGTCCGTTCCAAGGATAAGGTTTTTTTGCACCAAGCCCTTGAATCCTCGAACAGTCTACCTTTCACCGGTCAAAGGCTTGTGTGATCTTCTGTTCTTCCCCCCTGCTCTTGGGAAAGGACGCAACCGCCGCGCGCTTACAGCTTATGCGCAAGGCCAGAAAACGGCACACGCAGGAAGGCGATGAATGGGCTTTATCATTGTTTCTCCTCTGTTTTATGCCCTGCCCGTTGGGCTCCGTCGGGGGAATGATTTCTTGTTTCTCGTTTCTTTCCTTGTTCTTCTTGGTCGTTTTTGTCGTACACGGGCTTGGCGCTCACTGGAACCACTTCTTGGTCGTACTCTTGGCATTCGCCGCCGCAGCGGCCTTTTGATTCGTCACGCGCCGAATCTTTTCGCGGTTCCTCGCGTCCAGCAGGCTCCCCGGCCCGTCGTCCAACCAATGCTGCTGGCCGACGGCCTGCTGCTGGGCATGCGACGACGAAGGCGAGGGTGACGAGGAGAGCAAAGAGCGGGTGTTGCGCGTCAGGGGTCCGCGCTCGTCAAACATCATTTTGACGCGCTGGACCTTGCGGAGCTTGACGAGGCCGTACCAGCAGACGAGGAGTGAGCAGATTGTCGAGGTGACTGTGACGCCGGCGAAGCCCCAGTTTGTATCCTCGATGAAGTTTTCGAGGTTCATGCCGTAGAGGCCCGCGAGGAAGGTGCCCATTGCTAGGCCTAGGGTGCCGACGCTGAAGCGGAGTTCTAGGAGCATGAGGGCGTTGCGGTTGGCGTCTAGGATTGCGCGGATACTGAGTTGGGGGTTTTGATGTTAGTGAGGTGTGTTCAACAAAAGTCTGAAGGATTGATTGTGGAAGTAGAAGAAGAAAAGGCGGGGCTTACATCTCTTCGGTGTTGCGGATGCCAGACACCAAGTTCTGAGCCTCCTGGACGATTTCATCGCAGAGCTTATTGTACGATTCAAGCAGCAGCTCCACCTCGGTATGGTCATCCACCCCGCGGTAGAGGTCGTGCGCCTTTTCAGTGAGGTACATGGCCGCCAAGTCGTCGTCGGCCTCGAGCAGCTCCTCGATGGCGTCGCGGACCAGCTTGGCCTTTTGCTCAAAGGTGCTCACGCGCTTAGACAAGATGAGGAGGACGCGCAGCTTGTGGCGGTCGATATCGTGCTCGAGCTCGCTGAGGACGCGGATGACGGGGTCCCGGACGGACTCGAAGTCGGCCTCGAGCTCCGACGTCACAGATGTGAGAACGGCTTCGAGCGCGCGGAACTCGTAGGGGAGGCCGCCGACGCCGTTGCCGCCGCCCTGGGTGTTCTTTTGTTTGAGCTTGCCCTGCAGGTCGTACATGAAGGCGGACTGCGGGTACGACGTCTTTGAGCCGTAGACGTCGAAGAGGAGGACGCGGTCCTTTTTGATGAGGACTTTGAGGTGAAGGAGGTTGAGGAGAATGGCGGACTGGCGGACAAAGATGTGGGGGAGGTTTGACGAGTCAATCTTTCGCAAGTCGCGGGGCAGCAGGCCGTACTATTAGCAGTATCTCTTCGTCAGCGCCTTGCCTCTATCATCAAGTTGGCCCCTTGCTGTCTATTTCCCATGGGACACTTTCTCTAACCTTTGCGATGAGCTCCGTCTTCTTGAACTCGCCATCGACCAGGATGACCTCACCGTTCTCGTCCACCTCGGTACATCGCAGCCTCGGCTCGAGCGCGGCTTTGGCGGTCAGCACGCGGCGGTTGTTGAACATGGAACCCGCGCCCCCTTCGTCGTGGAAGGGAAGGTCGTTGGGCTTCAGCGCCTTGGCGCCGCCCCAGCTCCTGATACCCCAGAGCTTCTCCTTCCAGGTCCGCTGACGGGGCGAAGAGGGGTCGTCGCCGCATGAAATTTGTCTCGCGCGAGTTGTGCTGAAGAAGGCGGCAACGGCGGTGGTCGTCGAGGGCGACGACGATGCTGTCGCTAGTGGTTCCAGAGCTCTTTGCCTGCGGGATATCCGGGCGGTGGTGATGTGGAGTTCGGGTCGTCTGCAGCTCGTCGTCGCTGTCGAAAGGGATCTTGTGCCCGTCGTCTTTGGGGTTCGCTTTGCGAGGCATCGGGGATTCTGAGCCGGTCGAGGGGAGCCGCCGCATGGAGAGGTACAAGCGGAGGCTTCGATGCCTTGGTTCCGGCTGAAGATTGAGGCCTCCGTTTGCGATCGCAGGAACCGGAGCAGGCTTGTCGAGGGTACTCGAGTCTGCATCGCGGGAGGCATCGCGGGGCGAGAGAGGACCTACACCGCAAGCTTGGAGATACGAATTTCTCGTGAAAGTCGTCGGGCTTGCTTTGCGCGGTGATTGCTGGGCGGAATTGGCGACGCGAAAGCTCTCAATCGTCGTCACTCTCCAACTTTTTTTTTGATCGTTTTACCGCGCAGCGAGTTTAAAGTTGGGACCAGCCGACTGCACGGTCCAGGTGATCACGGACAGTCTTTGATGTCATTCGACACGGCCCTCGCACAGTACAAAACCCCACAAGGGGGGGGGGATCTCGAAGACCCTCCAGACTCCAGTCACTTAATTAGCGGGTTAAGAAAAATGACACCCGTTGAAGGGTTTTCCCCATGGTGAGTAATATCTTTGGAAATCAGTCTGTTTGGTCACAAGGTTTCTCTTGAGATTTAGCGCAATATTTCCAACTGCCGAGCGTATCGTCCCCTCTGAAGTCCAGACGAGGTTGGATAGTTGGAGGCACAAGGTTTTTCACTTACACCATTCTTACCTCAGCTCCAGCTTTTCCCTTGAACCATCCTCATTGATACCCCTCTCAGAGAAAGGTCTATCAAGCTGGGCAATTCTTTTTCGTCTCTCATCTCTGAAATGAGACCGCAGACATAGAACCCGCCTGGGGATACGAGACAGACAGAGAGAGCAAACGGGGAGAAAGGTGGCTGTCTGTCCATGGGCAGATCATGCAGTTGACCCCGATCAAAGTCCGAGGCAAGCGTGGCAAAGCCGCTTCCTCCTACTCCAAACCACACACCAAGGACTCATCATCACTGACGCAGAAACGGGCGTCACGCCTTTCAAGTCGTCCAGTCGCCAAGCGCCATTCACTCTTTGAACTCAACTTTCCCCTTGAGATCGCCGAGCACATTTTTATACTCAGCGAAAATCTCAATTTTCCTCGTTGCAGCCCGCGCATCGGCGCTCTGCTCTCTGGGCGATCTACTCTCGTCAATATTCTCATCGCCGCTTTCCATCCGACCTGGGATTGTTGGTTCGGTGTCGACAAGCGAGTGATCAAGACGGCTTTGAAACAAGGCGCCGCAGACGACGCGCGAGGACTATGGCGCTATGAGAGCTTCCCTGAGTTATTTCCAGGTGACGCTGAATTCCAGGTTCGAGCCCACAATGTCTTTCCCAAGATTTTCACTTTGCTGACTTTGTGGTCAGTCTTCGCTGCTGAGCAGTCCATGGATCAACGTGGACATCATCTTTGAGGCTCGACACATCTGGGCTTGGCGCTTCGCCCGCAACAGGTGGTACTCACACTCCCACGTGGGCCTGAAAGATGAAGAAGAAGCAGAGCAGGATAACCCCCTCGAATCGCCTCACGACCGGGTCGGCGGTTTCGGGCACTTTGACTCCCGTGGCTGTTTCGAATACGACTGGCTCTCCTACGGCCTCAACGGCTCCAAACCGGCGCTTGACTTTTACATTGATGTACACCCCAAGACGACGATCCCTGACGACCTCCTCACCGGCCCGTGGACGCTCGAGCAGCAGAGACTCCTTTTCTGGCTACGGCGAGGCGGCGCAAAGATTCAGCCGGAAAGTCAGACTTGGGAAGTGAGTTGATATCTAGCCAAATGCGTTGTACTGGCATCAAGGGGAAAAGGGGCTTTACTGACACAACATAGACTCTTCGCGTCGGCCTCCAAAATGCTGTCACGCATCGCAGTCCAGGCACCATAGACGGGCGCCTGATCGAAATGCTCCTCCTGGTGGAAGACTACTTCCCCTCGCACGCACTGGAAGACAACCCGTCGCTGTGGCCGCTCGAGATCCTGGAAGAGGAGCACGCCAAAGTTGGCCGGTTGCTAGCAGCGAGGGCTCGCAGCACCGCGGGACCCATGTTCGAGCTCATTGAGCTCGAGAAGCGGATGATTGAGTACCACCGCCGCGTGGTCGATCTGCTTACGTCGAGACTTAGCCGTCATGATCGGTTGGTGCCGTCTTCGATCATGGCTGCTGGTCTGTTACCTCAGCCGCGGAACCATTGAATAATTCGGACGGAAAGGGACAGCTTATGCGATTGAAAAGCTTGGGTTGGTGCTGTGTATGACTTATGAGTTTACGGGACTTGCATGCCTATTGTAATGTAATTCTGAGAGTGTGAGCGACGAGACGGACGAGGGATGTTGCAGCACTTGGATTTGGTGCGAGGTCCTCGAGATGGAACGAGATTTGACGTGAATGGTCGAGTGGGATCTTGATTCTGAGATACCGACAGAAAAAGAAAAACCAATCATTGTATGCACCCTGCTTCAACTACACCAAGGGGAGGACCAGAAAGGTCTGCCGCCTTCGCTGCCCGAGTTCTTATTTCCACCACCGCTGCTTTTACTATTGCTGCGTTCTCTGCTCTTTGGATTATTCCAGAAATAATACACTCGTTGAAGCCTGAAAAGGTTGTAGGAAGGCCGGGAATAGTTCTTCAGGTAAAATTATGTTTGGGAACAGCCGTGGTAAATTTAGAAAATCATCGTTACGGTATGAGGCTATGGGGTGGGGCTACTTCAAGCAGCTTGCGTCTCCAACTACCATCACCGAGCGGAGCAGTAGCTCCGATCCTCCCCTTGGTGTAGTTGGTTCATCACGTTCGACTGTAATGGTTACATTGTCATCGAAAGGTCTCTAGTTCGATTCTGGAAGGGGAGAACAACTTTATCTTTTGGCATTCTATGGATGTCTTCCTTTTTGGAATCGGTTTCGGAGTGGTTTTGGTGCAGGCTTTTCAGTTTGTCTGCTTGTTGGGGGGCTACCGAAAGCAGAGATGGGATCGAGGTTGTTGTTGAGACCTACTTTTCTTGGTTGTGGAATCTGGACAGTGCTGCGCAAAGCTTATTCGTTGTGGCATTGTGGTAAACCAGAAGTAGATGTAAGGAGCTTGGGACAATTCGAGGAGGGTGGTTCATGATGCCTGTTGATACTCACAGCAGTCTCGTCCTGGGTTTTCTGGGCAATTTTCATTTAATGGTCTAGGGTTTCGTTTGGATGCAAGGGTTGTGCCTTTTTCTTTTCCCATTCTACAGACGACTCAACCCTCGAACCTTCTGAATCAGAGTTTCTTTTGTTCGCAATGCTCTAACTCTTTTCTAGTCGACATCGGACATTTAATAATTCCCGAGCTTCGGTAGAAACCCCCCCACGAGGCAGGCATAGAGAGAAGACTTCAGACACCGGGGCTTGGAATCAACTCTCTTCAAGAAGATCGAAGAATATCGGATCTAGGACTTTGGAGTAATTCAGAGGCTTCTATGTGAGACATATCTTGAATAGGACATATGATCTCTAATGAGTTTATGCTTGGTTGAATGAAGACATGAGAATAGAGTCGAGTGAACGTCACGCAAAGATTGATATACAGCTAATCTCGCCCATCTCGCCCAACACTTCAGGCATTTCCAAGTATAGATAGATACCTTTCAGATGATTCCGGAAACGACGCCTTCATCCTTCGCCAGGGCTTCATCATGATACCGTAGCATAAAGTTCAAGAGCGGCCGGCTAAGAAAACAGAACCTCGAGGAAACTTTCCGCTTTGGGAGAGGCAAGTAAGCAAGCAAGTGAGAGGCCCCCGTGCATTGAATAGTCCCTTGAAGACTAGCATCGAGAAAGACACAGACAAAACTTGAAAACATATCTTACCAAGCTCACTGCCCTTACTCAATATGTACGCATATCATCACCTTCGAGGTTTGATATTGATCAAGAGCATAAGCAGCAGCAGGAAACCCTGAGCTCATACATCACCCTTCCTGTCCATCCGCTCATCCGGCATCTAGCATCCGAGCTCAATCTCACCTGACCCTCCGCCAACATCTACAGGCCATCAACCTTCCATCTCCTGACAACTCTGCACAACATCCCAAGATCCCGGAATACCCACTCCCTTCAAACCACCGGATCTTTCGGTGTCTCCCCCGCCCCACGATGCCGGGCTGCGAGGATTGACATATCGGCGAATACATACATGCGCATGCATACATTGGTCGTCGGCCTCCGGCATCCGCGCGGCACGCACTGGCATGCTTCTCTTCCCGTCCAACTTGACCCCAAACCATCTCACCGAGACGGGGTGTTGAATAAAAACCCCCCCGATCGGCGAGCTGAATCGAGCTGGCCGTCATTGACTACCCCTCCTCCAATCTTGGTATACTCCCGTCACAGGAAGAGTAACGTAGGTAGAAAGCGAGAAGCATACTCCGGGCACGCTGACCGGGTGAGCAAGACGGCCAAACAAAACAAGGGAGAGTTATCGCAGCCGGGATATCCGGATCAGGATCTCAAAAGTCGCCGACTGCAAAGGCATCATTTACACCGATGACTGTTTTCCTTCCCCGGAAAGCACATCATCTCGGCGTCCCAGATTGAGTGTAGTGGAATCTCTGAACGCCCTTTCGCATCCCGAAAAAGCATCTTCACTTCGATGACTCTCCAACAGACTTACACAGACCGAACCAACAAACCCCCGGAAACTCTTCTGAGA